CGAATCGGCAGTGTGTTTCCGAAGAGTTTCTCAACTTCACTCGCTTCCATTTTCAGCTCATTCAACAGCTCCATCTCTTCTTTACTTAGCCCTTTCAAGAAGTTTTCTTCATCTTGTTGCAGTTCTTTGAAACCTTCAAACAACCTCTGAAACAATGTCTGTTCGGTCTTCCCAACCTTCTCGACCTCCTTCTCCACCTCCCCTTCTATCTCTTCGACTTCTCTGATCAGTGTCTGCTCTCCTTCCTCTACTTTCTTTTCCAGTCTTTCTACCAGAGGAGGCTCCGGGCCACAAGTGTTATCGGTTTTGATAAAGTTGATTAAGTTTCTACCAACTTTTTGAGCTGCCCTTTCGAGTTCGGGAACAATGGTTTCTGGCAATACCGCACTTCTCGTGTAGATAACAGCACCACCATATCCATCCCATGCATCGTTTCTACCCCGGTAGTATACGAATACATAATCATCTGGTTTGTTTTCTATTTTGGACGATAAAATATACCTGCATACCATATTAACCAATGAGTCCAATAGCAAGAATGTCACGCAAAAGGCACAACCATCGTCAGCAGTTTCAAAACTCAAACACTGTCTTCTGATAGCATCAGATTATAAATTTTAAGCACACATACGTAAAAGATATATACGAGAACGGATCGGAAGTTACCAGTCATCTTGATAGTGAAGGTACTCGTTGTCATGATTGTAAAGAATCCCAGGGTAGTTCGGATCTTGCACGAATCTTTGTGTGGCTGACCGAGTGAAAAAACCACCATCCGGTGTCCGTATTCTCCAAGTCAAATTCCCTACAAGTTTGCCACCTTCTGTATGGAATTCATGTAGTTGGCAATCAAAAGTGTCAAAGGTAAGATTTAAACCACTAGTGATGAACCATTTCCCAGTAAAATCTGCAATGTTGAAGTTTTCAACAAGAACAACAGGATCGGGGGCAGGGAATTCGCCTAGATCGGATTTCTGAGGCACACATTTCTTGCGTGAGACGGCACACTCGTTAAATTCGTCGACAACGCTGTTTGCAAAGAGGTCTCCACATTTAATCTGCAGAAGTGCTGACATAAACAAGTCTATAAAGCATAATATGCATCCCTTAGGGCATAAACTGCCTCGTCATTAGACATAAACCATTTGCAAGAAGCATACAAAACTAACCTGGCACTCGGTTTCATCTGGCCTATTGTTGCAGGTCTGGAGGCAAGCAACATTTGCAGCACATGAAGGGTCGGCGATGCACTTAGCAAGTTCTACCCTGACAAGAATAATATTGCGCATCGAGTTAGATGACGGTCAAACCTTTATCTTTATAGTGTATAGACTCAGAATGCATCGAGTTAGATGACGGCTTTCACTTAATTTGATTGAATACCTGCACTCCTTCAACAAGCAAGTGCATGTTTTTAGAGCATCGACAGCACCGGCAGATGGAATCACCAAATATGCGCATGCAAGCAATCCAACCATTTTCACAATCTGTATTTGGCTCCATTCTACTGAGAAATTCGATATGATAGGCATCGAAAATGAAAATACCTCGTCTGCCTTAAAGAAGAAGATATTCAATACAAAAAAATGAACATTAACATACAAAATTGTCAATTAGAAAGAAATTCAGCATCTAGGGGCCAATACTACCTTAGGTGTTCTTCCATTGCTGCTACTTGATGATAAGTCCCTCTCTTTTCTTCTTGAAAGCTGATTCGAACATCTCGATTTTGATGCAGAATAATCCTTATTCGGCTTAATTAACTGAGAATACCTTGAGTTTCTGCAACTAGATTGAATTTTCGGTAGCACTACGCCGTGAACTATTAGTCTCCCACGAAACCTTTCGTTACGAGTAAATCCCGATGTTCTACATGGAAACTTAACACTTTGACCGTGGGAGAAGCATATAAAACGAGTAGCTTCTGCCATATTTCAGGACCTCAACTTAACATACAACCTGATCACGCAAAATAAATCAATAAGCTACATTTCTGATAATTTTTGCAATTATTACAGGAGGAATTCAAATGAATAAAGTCAGACTCTTAGAGAACAAATGTTAGAATCCAACAAAAACATGAGGATTAAACTACTTTGTTTTGAGCAAGTACAAAAAGCAATCATCTACTAGTAGATGAAACTAAGCAGCAAATACCCAAGTTTCCTAATCCAGAGAACACAACATATTGCATCTTTCAATCCAAAAAAACTAACAACGTTCACTTACAAGGATTCCTTTTACTGTTGATTAGAAGCTATAAAGACAACAGAAGGAGAAACAAATTAGAGAAAAGGTGACTTCTTTTAAATAGAAAAGGAGAAAAGAACTGACCTTTAACTAAATGGAGAGAAGGTTAAAAATAGTGGGTTCTTCTGCTTGTTTAAATGTCAGGAATGGTTTATAAAGTAGAGGGTTGCGGGAAGACGAAGGCAATGGATATTAGATGCTAAGAATTGGGAGAAAAGGAGGGCAAGAAGGCAGCAACAACGTGTGACAAATAGCTAGTTCGTGGACAAGTGAAATTAGGATAAGACAATGTGTGGAAACTAGACCTTTTACGTATCCAATCTCTTCTTGCTTTCTTCAACTGGGAATCCCAGGTCGTGTATTTAAACAAGAATAATTTAATATTGCTTTAATTTATCACGTTTATTCCTATTAGAGGTATGTATTAGATCTAGTTAACTCAAAACTTTTTTAATTAATTGAGTTAACGAATCCTAGTTTATAACTCAAATTATATTTAACTTTTTTTTTTCAAATCAACTTGACTAGTTTGATTTTTTATTTAAATTTAATTGCAAATATTAATTATTATTATTGTATAACTTAATTCTCGTTATCAAACATTTATCCGAGTTCAAATTAACACAAGAGAAGTTAAATCTGTCAAAAACATGATCAAATTTGCCTAGTTTTCCATCTCTAAAACAAAAATGGAACTAGCAAGTGCAACAAGCTCATGATTTGCAGCATATACAAATTCCATGACAAGGCTGAGGTTTAAGGATTTGGGATGGTTGGTTTCCATTGTGTAGTACTACAGTCTAACATCACCCGTCAATGCCGTTATCGTCGTTGTTCTCCGAGTTCAATTCTCCTTGATTTATGATGTTCATTATGGCCTTTGTAGCTTGGCCAACAGCGTGAGAAATTTTCGGGCAGCCTCAGCAACAACAGGCTGTAAAGAGATGACAGACAAACTAGCTCGTTCTTGAATAATCGCTGGACAAAGATGTTGTAAAAGAGTTCTAATAAGTAAAGATGCCATGAAAGAGTTCTAATAAGTAAAGATAGTCGTAAAAGAGTTCTTGAATCAAGCCTTCAATCTCGGGGTAGCAGGGTGGAGGGCGAAGGGCGGCTCAAGAGCAACTTTTGAACTTACACATTGTCTGCTGGTGAGCAAGTGAACCCATGCTGAATTCCAGCTTTAGCAGCCTGCACGATTTTAGCCGATTTGTTGACATCATCTGCAATCTCTTGGCTATGTGGCAAAGTAGCGAATTGAAGCATTATACACAAAACCGAGAAAGCTATGTGAACATGAAAAAGAAATGAGAACCTTCTTCCTAGATGGGCTAAAGCTTCCCGACGATATTCAGAAGGTCACAGTCAATTTTAAAAAATGTCTCAGTTCCAAGAAAATCAGAATTCGATTGTCACCTTAAATCACTTAGTTCGAGTGTAAGGTCACTGATCTCCATGCCTGAAAGCCTGATCGCAGCCATGGTGCCGGGAAGCTCCTCTCGTGCTGTGTCTGCTAGCTTGGAAAGAGAAACCGCAGCTCTTCCCAGTGCCTGCAAAACCAGCAAAACAAAAAGAAATAAACATATAAATTGCAGACTACACCTAATCACATCGCAATCGGTTGAAGAAGCTTGAATTGTCCTGTGATTCTTGACTGCTCGAATCACGAGGGACGGATACAATGTGCGAAAACTTACAACGAGAGTTGGAACAGCTGCAATAACCATACTTGTAAACGATGCCTGCATGCACACAAATGATTGCTAAACATAAAATCTCAACATCAAACATATTGCTTGCATAGGTTCAAGACAATATAATGAACATTTCAAAATGGAAGATTTCAACACCAAACACTTCAATTCTTACTGATATGCATCAACAAAATCTATTTAATTCACAATCATTAGCCCTGGGAAAATGCACCTGATGAAAACTATCCAACAACTTAGAAAAGCCACCAAAATATGCTAAGCAAGCTTGAAACACCGCTACAAGAAGATGCTAAACTTGTTCTAAACCCATAGCCACAATCAATCATATAAATCAAGCATAAGCAATTCCACAGAAAACTCTTAACCACTATAAATAACAGAAAATCGATGCAATAAAAAACTCCAAAAAGGGAAATCCAAAAAGAACTACCCAAAGCACACAATAACCTCAAAAACCATACCGTGCAAGCAATAAAGGCGAACAGATGGAAGGCCTGATCACTCAAGTTCGTCTTTTGAGTTGAAATGAAAGTTGGGAGAATTGGGTTCCCAACTCCCACATTGTAATTTTCCTTGGATTCTTCTCCAAGATTGATTTTTGATGTCTGGGGGAATCCATTGGCCTTGAAACTTGTAATCTTCAAAGTTGAATTGGTAGAACGACTGAACGAGCAAAGTGGGATGAAACAAGGAAAAGGCTTTACAGAAACGGGTGATTTCAACAAGAAAAATAGGTTTTTTGACTTTGAAGGGAAAGAAATGAAGGGAGCTAAACAAATGAAAGCTTTTGGAAGTGAAAACTTCGAGGAAACGAATAGTGTCTTTCTATAAAAAACAACGGTCCAGATGGTGGCCAAGTTCGGACTTCTAAACTGAACTGGTTCGAGTACTATTCCATTTGAAGTTCGGATTTGACAAATTAGTCCAAACCCAATGGGCTGGAGAGTTGAATTATCAAAGCAAAGTTAAGAAATTTTAAATTGATATTTAATGTTTTGATGATGGATATATCTTAAATTTACACAAACTTCGATCGAAAATGAAAGTGAAACAATATATGGAGCAATTGTAAGGGTTGCAACAAGGAAGAAAGCAAAACCAGACCATTACATTTCCACAATACTTAAAAACAGTATATATATGCACACTGTGGCATATCACTAGTTGATGCTTGCCATGATCAAACTATAACTATCGTTTTTCAACAAAATCCAGAAACAACACAGCTGAGTGAAAGTGAGCATTTAAGTGAAGAGAGGAAGATCATCATAATGATTCTTTTATGTTAGAAAAGGTTCACAGCTCAAGAAGTGTTGCCATATCAAACTTAAGTTGTCTTTAAGTTTGTCCGAGATCACATCTTCTTCAACATCCTGCTCCTGAAAATAAAATTGAAAGTAATGTTACATAATCATATCTGTCTTCGAGCAATGTCTGTAGGTTCCTGATAAAACTCGGGGTCGTTTAACAAAATTGGGAAAATGGAAAGCAGTGCTGCTTACCAACAGTCCTGAAACGATTCCTTTCAACTTCAAGGAAACTTCCTCTGATGCTTCCCCGTGTGTAGTTTTGAAATCAAAACGGTCAGCATGTCGTACCTTGAGTCTTATGGATGAGTTTTCATAAGCACGAGCCACTGTGTGCCATACACCAACAACATTGTATCTGTTCCCACTCGATGCTTTTCCGAATGGCCATCTTAACCCACCTTTCACATCTGGGTCTAGGACTGCCGAATCAATCAGATTTTGAATGCTTTGCATCTCATCTTCCTGATGAGTAAACGAAATAGGTGAGCTGATAAAACTAATGTCCTTAGAGACTAAAAGAATCCAAACTAACTTACAGTCATAGAAGTTAAAATTCTCTTGTGGGTCATCAACAACCTCAAATCAAGATTCATATCCAGGCATGATATGTCTATAACCATGTCACGCACCGGATTTAGTTCTACCTACAAAAAAAAGTATGTTTCATGGTATGCCTCACAAATAGCAACATGTTGATGCATTCCATAATTTCAGATTAAATTCGAGGCTGCAAATGGAGAGCCAACATTTGGGTGCATATCTTGGCATATGGTAGTGAAAGACTTACCTTGTAAATTTGGAGTTTTTTATCATCTTTTAATCTACATTTGCAGGAAATCGTTGAAGCTGGCTGTGTGCTATCAGACAACTACACATAAAGAGATTTAAATCATTCAATAGCTAACATAATCAATCATATTGCAACAGAAAGTATAACTAAGTGGGAAAATATACCCTCACGTAGTATACATCTTTCGTATCTGCAAAATCAACTTTAATATTTGAGGCAACTTCAGCTATAATGTTTTCCGAGTATGAAGCAGGAACACTTGTGTTAAACGATTTTCTCAAATTCCTCAATATCGTCTCACTAATGCAATCTTTACCGACACTTTCCAAGTTCACAGAAGGGCTCCTGCACCACATATAAACATATTTTGGATATTGCAGTAGGCACCAATATTGTAGAACAGGGTTGCTTTGATCTCCTTCAAGGACAAATGGCTACTTAAAACGCTCAATAATGTACTATATTTTAGCAGACATGGCACTAGCAACCATTAAAACTCAACAAAATCTCTCGATGAAGCAATAACATAGTGATCATTGCTTACCCCTGAAAAAGTATTTTGCCAACCCTAGCCACCATTGACAGCTTTACATCTTTCGAATCTGCACACTCTAGTTCAGCCCTCGCCTTTTCAAAGGACGATAATATGTCCGGCAGAACATTTTCTGCAATAGATGACCACGGGGACCCTTTTGCTTCATCTACGATAATTGGGGACAAAAAATGTAGTTTAAGAACACCTTTCCACAACATAACAAATAGCTTTCCACATTATTTTAGGAAATGGTGTACCACCAACCTGTATCTGAATTATTTTTTACCAAGATAAGAGGTTTCTCCCCTGTTTTTCTCTCGATAGATTCAACTGAAACTGGCTTCAGATGAGCAGCAGAAATGTCAATGTTTCCATCATCCAAACCAACAGCAAACCATCTGGAGATTGCATAGTTCGAATATATGATCTTTCCACTCCTATCAGCATTAGACTTTGAAGCCCTTAACTGTACATTCCTATTAAATCTGGGAGCAAGCGACTCTGGAGTCGGAGTCGACCTATCCGAATCCTTCAAATGCCGCTTGTGAGGAGGGATATAAGCCATGTATGACGCTCAATTCCAACACCTACAGGAAACAACCATTATTAAAGGAATTTCATAGCAATGATAATATACTTATAAAACCTTAAACAACATGGGAAACAATGTCCAGTTTTCAACAAAACACAGATTACGCAAGAAAATATAATAAAAGAAATCTTAACTAAGATACATAGATTATGTTAAAATGACAACATGAAACATGATTGAACATGATAGATACCTTAGTGAGACACAAAACTCATCTTTTTTTTAGCAGCAAATTATGAAATTTTCGGGAAAAAGACAAAGTACACCCATAAATAACTAAAATAATAATAATAATAATCTTCAATCTTTCTTTAAGTACCCATAATTTTATAATTCAGAAAGCTACCATATAGGTTTTGCAAGGAATAAAGAGAGATATTACCAGAGATTTCTAATGCTTTTGATTCTTGGTTGACGCCAAATTAGGGAAGAGAAAGAAAGGATTTTGATTCTTGAATATCAAAGGTTTTGGGTTTGTATTTGGTTGAAACAGAACAGATGATCGGTGCTTTTATACTTGAACTTACTTCCGACTACTTCAATTGCAAGAAGTTCCTTGGACATTTGGAAAAGGAAAAGTAAAAGTAAAAACAGTAAGTGCTTTCCTCAGAAGTTATTGCTTTATTTATTTTTGGAAAAAGTACACCATTAGTTCTTAAATTATTCCCTGCATATCATTTTGATCACCGAATTTTCTAAGATCGTAAAATTTTATTTTAATGTTTATTAACAATAATCACTATATATATATGTATATAATCTTTATGAAAATGAAAAAAGCAAAAGTGTTTTTTTTCTAGGTTAAATGAGATAAATTTTGTCACATATGATGAAGACATGTTTACGTGGCAGTATATTTCAATGACGAATATAAAATTTTATATTAGAAGAATGTATTTATAAAATTTAAAAGAATAAAAATATATTTGTTATTAAAAATATAAAAAATTGGAATTTAAAAAAACGATTACCACGCAAAATATAAATTATTAAGGGGCTGTTTGTTTACTTCATAATGATTAAGCGCTGAATAATTTAAATGCTGAATGATTCAGAAGCTTTGTATGAATTAGTTATGAATGTGACATGATGTTTAATAATGACTCTGAATCATTCAGAATGTACTTTTGTGCTAATCATTCATCACTGTTTTGTTGAATAAGTCAGTATTGAATCATTCAGATGTGCGATTCAAACGCGTTGAATGGTTCCATTAAGAGGCAAACAAACTCCCCTAACTTTATTTAATTCTCTCGCATGTAATGAATGGCAACGGGGCGGGTTCGGGCGGGTTTTGCTCCCTCCGTCCCTATCCCCGAAATGAATCCCCGTCCTCGCCCCGTTCCCCATCAGGTTTTTTATCGGGGCACCCCATCGAGGATTTTTTTTGCCCCGTCCCCGAACCCGACCCGATCCCGAGAACCTGAACCCGAACTCGACCCGATCCCGAGAAAAATTGAGCAACCGTAATTTTCATTAAATATTATATATATAATTAATATAAAAATATAAAATATTATATATATAATTAATATAAAATATATAAAATATTATATATATATATATATAATCGGGGCGGGGCGGGGATACCTTGCCCCGAACCCGAACCCGAAAAAATCCCCAAAATTTACTTCGATACCCGACCTGACCCGATATTATTCAAGCCCGACCCGAACTTAACCGGGTTTCAGGGTTTCCCATCGGGTTCGGATCGTTCTGCCATTCCTAATGTAATCTAGGGGACGCATGCTAATTGCCGAGTGAAGAAGGTGCTCTGGGGAGTCGGGAGAGATAGGATACATTAAATAAATATAAATGTTGTGGATGTTCATTATAGAAAATTGGCCCTTCATACTCTGGATTGTATGATGATTAAGTCATAAATGCACAAAACTATTAACTTTATTAATTCTATAACTGAAAACATCATCTGCCTCTGAAAAATCACCCAACTAACAAGTTAGTCAATGTTGTTAGTATGTATCTCTAGAGAATTAAATGAATCTGTTGTGGCTGAACTAAGACTTCCATTGATGAATCTACAAGCAATCCAAGGGTTTTATCTCTTAACTTTATGTTTTTCAACCAATGAACTAAATCACCCTTTTCGGTCGAGCTTTTTTCTCTGTGGCATTGAGACAAAATTGCAGAAGCTATGTTTAGCTTTATATTATTTCTTCCAAGAAATATTTATCTCATCATAATCATCCACAAGTCTTATGAGATTCATCTTGCATCGACGGATTAATGATTCTTTATGAATAATTTGGTCCAGAAATGGAACTATAGGGGTATTCGTGGAAGAAAACAATGGTATAAAATTACATGTCTGGGTTGATGATCTTCTTGAAGTTCTCAAATCGCCTGTGTACTTGAACTGCCTTTGCAACATTCTCTCCAATAACGTATGTAGGGTGCAAAAGCAACGTCTTGAAAATTATAAGTAATCCTTTAAACGGGTCAACTGCAAAACTCAAGGTTTGAGTTTTCAAAACCTCTTTCACAGTTTCAGTGGAGAAGAAAATCAAACTGTAGAGACAATAAATACAGAAAAATCTTTAACACTTGGCCGTCAAAATTGATCAAACAATTTATATGATTGAACTTATTAATCTGACATTGAAAACTATTTTATTGAGTCATTTGATTATTAAATATTATAAAAAATTATTTAGTTATTCATATTTTCCAAATCAGTCCCTTTCTATTAAAAAAATTATTATTATCTGAATTAGACGTTAACTTGTTGGTCAACTGCTTGAACTCGCGCTTGAAAGTTGTTTTGAAGCACCTCTAAAATTTTGGCAGTGAAGATCTACCAAGAAACTCAGAGAGCAGCTTTTCCAGTTTCATTTCACAACCATGTATTAGTAAGGGCCTTTTTAGCTTTTCCAACATGTTAACGTCTAGCTTAAACGATTATTTAAGGGTGTTCATTCGGTTAAAACGGTGGCCGACTGAACTGAATTACCATTAATTGAATTAACCGAACTTTTTTTTTCTTTAACCGTTAAACGAATCGAACTTTTTTTGTTGAAAATATTAACCAAACCGAATAAATTTCAGTTAATTTTTGAATTAATCGATTTTTTTTAAAAATATTTCTAATTTATATAAAAATTGAATTTTTTAATTCAAAAAAATTTACAATTAATTTAAATAATATATAATTATAAAATAAAAATTTTATACGGATTTTTTTACTTAATTAATATTGATTTAGGTTTAAAAGTTATTGAATCTTAAATTATTAATTGGGTTTTAAATGGTTTGGGATGAACCCATATGTTATATATATAATATATTTAATATTTAAAATTTAATTTCGGTTAATTAACTGATTTAGAACCGAATTAACCGTTAACCAAATTCTAAAAAATTTATTAATCATTTCCCGACCGAACTAATTTTGTGACCGACCGAATTAACCGAACTAATTCGGTTCGGTCGGTTAATTCGGTTAAAACCGAAAAATGAACATCCCTACGACTATCAATATTTAACAAAAAAATAATGAGTTTGAAATATATGAATTGCCAAGTGATTATTTTGTAACTTTTATAGTCAACGGATTCAATAAAATTACACCTTATAATCGAGGACTATTTGTTTATTTTACCTAAATATTTAAATATATTTATCTTAATAACCTTATGAACTAAATCATTCAAGATTCTTCAATTAAATTGTAGTAATTAAAAATCAATGAAGATGAACTCAATGAATACTTCCAAAGGTAAAGGATGATACGTTTCTCTTAGGTTATACGATTTTGATTAGTATTATCTTTAAGGCGTGCATGAGATTTATCTAAACTAAAAACAAGGTAAAAACTATCATGAGACTACATTGTAATGCTAAAAAAAATATTTATACTTCAATTTTTATAATACGTTAACGGAATGATTAAAATGGAATGATATTGATAATTTAAGGATTGATGTAGAATATTTTAAAGTTTAAAAATCAATTTTGAATGTTATCATAATTTTAAGAATGATATAAAATATTTTAAAATTTAGGAACTAATTTAAAATAAATATCATTATTTAGAGACATCAAGTACTATTGTCTCTTTTAAAAAATAAAAAATATGCAAGAATGTTAATTGGATTTGCCTAGGTATGTAAATCAACAAAGCGTTTGATGAATTGTGCATGGATTGTTCATATAGCATTCATTTATTAAGCTAAATAAATGAGTATTGAACAATTTTTTTTGTTTATTTAATAAATGAATGAATTCGTTTGTTTATGTTCACGAATAAAATCATTTATTGGCTACTTTTATATATCGATGATGCCCTTTGTGAGAGCTGACAACATAATAGAGAATATGTGAGTCAAGGAAAAAGGAAAATCGAGGAGGGTGACGGAAGAGGTAAAGAGCTTAAAGAATATTTCCTTCTTAATCGTGGTTGAGATATATTCATATCGACCCTAACTGTTGGTGTCAAAAGTAAGGTAATTATGACTATTCGTATATTAGCGAGTTAAATAGATCTTATTGACAAGTCTTGGATTTCATTCTTATAGATCACGTGAGCATATTAGAAGTCTTATCCATAAGTAATTCTTAAATAACAGAAAATCGATGCAATAAAAAGCTCCTAAAAAGGAAAGAGAAAATAACCTCAGTGACCAAAAATACCTCTTCCGTCACCTTCCTCGATTTTCCTTTTACCACGACCACGACCACGACTACGAGACGACCCGACCCGACCCGAGACGAGACAAGACGAGACGAGACGAGACGAGACGGACGGCGGCGGCTGTTGGATATATGAACTGCAAAACTACACCGTTAGCACTGACTGAAAATATAAACAGTAATTAAGAAGAACAGATTCGTAAACCGTGTCGTGGTAAGAACCACTGCCTTAGAAACGAATTCGCCTCGATGTGTGTAATCGCTGCAGTAGGCGGACCGTCCCCCGAGGTTAACACGGTCGCTCCGAATTTCGTACACCCGAAACCGGAGTGGACTGCTGGTGGTATTGCACTTCTGATCGGAAAGCACTCAGAGAGAACTCACAGAGAGAACTTTAGAAAACACTTTGTAAGTGAATTGTGAATGTTTTGGAGTGAGTTGAGAAGCTGAATATAGCTCTCTATTTATAGGCTAGAAATAGGGTTAAAATCGTCCATAAAATTTCAGGATTAAACCTCTTATTTGTAACAGCTGAAACGACTAGATGAACCTGACTCAGAAATAGTCCAGGTTCATTGTATCATTATTCAGCTGTTATAACTCCCGAAATTATATCATGTAACCCCTGGAATTAAATCAAATAACTCCTGTAACTCCTGATATTAACAGCTTGTCTCCTCTGTACAAAGCTGTAAATCAGTCCAGGTACATCTTAACGTTTCTGATTTAATTTAGGAATAAACTGTTTAATTTCTGATAAAAAATAATTCAGCTGTTATTATTTGAAATTCAAACAGTCCTCAGCAGCCTATAAATATCAGTTGATATCTTTCACATTTTCCATTTGTTTCTTTCAAAGAGAAATTCCTCAAGAATTTTC